CGTCCCTGGAGATCTCCCCGCAGCAGGACAGGCACCGCTACGCCTGCCGAGTGGAGCACAGCAGCCTGCCGGAGCCCGCGCTCGTCTGGGGTAAGGGGGGGGTGAATGGCAGGGCCTGTGGGTGGGGGCACAGCCCCATGGGAATTGCAGAGATGGGGTGAGGCTGGGCCACAGGAAGGTCAATATCCCTGCCCATCGTCAGTGTGAACTCGTCTAGCTCTGGGTATTCGTGTGACCCACAAAAATGGCCGATGCTTCAGATTATCTGATTAAGTTCCTGGCTGTGGTGATATCCTGTGGCAGTGAGTTCCACAGGCTGATGATATTATGAGGGAAGGGCTTGGTTGCTACATTTCCTGCATGTCTGGAAGTGCCCGGCAGAGCGCCTGTCCTCCATGACCCATTTCCCTCCCGCACTTGGCTCAGCCTTTCCCCTGCCCTGGGGCCAGGTCTCTGCAGACGCCCTCTGGGAGATGTTCAAGGCAAAGGCCTGTGGCTGCCCCAGCAGCGGCTCCCCTCGGTGACCTGGGCCCTTCTCCATCCCACAGCCCCTGGGAAGAAGGGCCCCCTGCACCCCGGGGTCCTGGCCGCCATCGTCCTGGCCGGGCTGGTTCTGACTGGAGCCCTAGGGGTCGGTGTCATCCTGTGGAGGAGAAAATCAGCAGGTAAGAGCCGGTCCCCATGGAGCCGGGATGTGGGGAGGTCTGGGGAGTGGGGTGTCACTGCCAGCCCAAGGGTGAATGGCTCCTCCCACTGCCCCCCAAGCAGAGGTGGGGCAGGGCCATGGGGCAGGTGGAGGTGCCGTGAGCCCTGGATCACCATAGCCTGGCCCTGCTGGGGGCAGAGTGGGCTCTGTTGTTGGCTGGGTGCCGGGTGCCTGCTGTGGGGGGTACTGGGGTCAGACTGACCTGGGTGACATGCAATCGGGGTTGTGGGGAGCCCTGTGTCTGGGGGAGGGGGGTTGGGGTCACCGGGGGGGGGTTACCCTGCTCCCCTGTACTGACCCTCATTCTCTGCTTGTGTTTCAGGCCCCATGAATCCCGGCTACGCTCCAGCAGCCAGTGAGTAAATCCTGGGTACAGGGCCCATATGCCCCAGTGCATTATGGGTGTATAGGGGGTCCCCGTGATGGGAGAAGGGAGCCCAGTAGTGACTGGACGTGAGCACTGATTTCCCCTGCCTCATGGGAGCAGTGCTGGGCTGCGTGATGTAAGTGGGGGAATGGTCCCGCTATTGTGGGGAACTTTCCTGGCTTATACACAACCCTGGTGAAGTGGGCTAGCGAAAGGATCCGAGTCCTCACTCCCACTCCTTTTACCCAGCACCCTGCCTGACCTCGAGGGCTCCCCTTCCTCCCTCCTATGGGGCAGAGTTCTCGTAACCCCGACAAGGCTGGGCCCAGGATTCCTGGAGGCTCAACTCCCAACCTTGTCGTGATCACCCAGGACAGGGGCTAGAGTGTCCCCACTCCGGGGGGGCTCTCTCTGCACTGGACACTTCCCTGACCCACTGATCACTGCATACAGCTCAAAGCAAACCAGCGTCTCTGGAACGTGAGGGCAGGTCACAGTGTGTTCCTCACAAATCCTAGGACTCCTGCCCAGGCCCTGGCCGTGTTGCAGAGACGCTGCGGGTCGGACACTCTCTCGGGCGGTGGCCACACACCCTCAGGCTCTGGGTGGCAGGACCCTTCTTCCCAGAGTCACCCTACCCTGTCAGGGTTATGATTCCCGACTGCTCCAGCCCCAGCCCCAGCTCCAGCCCCACCGCTCGGCCTCAGCTCCAGCCCCACCGCTCGGCCTCAGCACGGCTGCTGCTGCTGCTCTGTCTCCAGCCCCTGGGCTGCTTGTCTGGTTCTCTCTGGCTCTGGCTGGAGCAGCTCTACTCCCCGGCTCAGCTCGGGCCCCTGCTCTCTCCTTAGTTCAGCCCCTCTCTGTTCCAGGCAATTCCCGCTCACATGGAGGATGGGACACCCCACATGGGACACCCCCCCACCCTGCCTCCTGACTCCCCCATTAGCCTGCTCGCCCTGTCAATCAGGCTGATCTGTAGCGTTGGTCTCTCCCCGTTGTCCCTGGGGACTGTCGGTCTCAGGGTCCTGATTTGCCATCGACCCCTCCCCTTCCTTCTGGTACTGGCAGAGGGCCAACCAAAACCCACACTCAGCGTCAGTGAGGCGCCAACAGTCCCCTTACATTGAGCCACACACGTCACTCCAACGACCCATTACAGACCGGACCAGCCGTCCAGGAGCTGCTGGTGGGTGGGGAAAAGCCAGAGCCCGGCGGTGTCTGTTGGGGGCTGGTACGACCAGGGTCATGCGCTGCGTTTGGGGTTCAAACCCGTGTCCATTCCCAGCCCGGGGCAGGTCGCTCCATAAAGAGGAGTTAGCATGGGGTGCGTGGGGGGTGCAGTGTGGGGGACGCCCAGAGCTGAATTCCCCTCCCCCTTCCCTAGCTGGGACCCCCACAGCTAACGCTGCCTCTAAACGATTTTCTTCTCTCTCCACAGCATAGAGTGGGGAAGATTCTGCCTCCAGCTCGTCATCGGGAACAGACCCCCGGAGCGTGTGACCCCGGAGCTAGGGGCAGAGTGACGCTGACCCCGCTGGCTGGGCGATCTCTGTCCTCTGACTCCCCCCTGCCCAGGGGGAGATTCCCACTTGGTCGTTAGAGCAGTTTCCTCCTGGGGGCGTTGGGCCTCAGGCTCTCCGATTGCAGGGTTTGCGTCTCTGCTTCTGCAGCCGGGACTTTGCCTCAACTTCTCCCCAAAGGGCCGACTCGCTCCAGTGTCTCGTCTCTGCGGGGGCCGCGCTGCCTGCATCAGGGACGGGCGGTTCCCCTTGTCCAGCAGTAGGAACCGGCACAGAGCCCGACGAGCAGGCAAAGACGGGGTGGGGGAGCCCCGCAGCGGGGAATTATGGGCTACCCCACCCCCATCTGAAAGGCAAATGGGCCCTGCTTGGAAAAAGCAAATCCCAAAATGGTGATTTTCAGAGGAAAAGACTCCGTGCTCTGGTCGAGCTCAGGTCCGAGCTTTGCCCTGAATGTTGTGTCAAACCCCCGTCCCCCACCAACCCCCCCAAATTCTGCGCAAACCTGAGCCGCTGAGTCTCAGCCTCTCAGCACGTGTGTAATACGTGAGCGTCTCTGTGGAGCAGGAACAGCGGAAGGACCCATCCTTCTCCGGCCCTGGCTCCGGGAATGCAGAACTGGGGGGTTTCCTTTTCAGTTCCAACTTTGTGCTGGCTTTGCATTTTTTAAAATCATTTTCAG